TCGTGCAAGTTATGAAAGTTGTGGAAGCTGTTGTGCTATGTCTAAGATAAATAAATTTGATTTTGTAAGACATGCGTTATAAAAAAAAAATAGTAAACTTCATAAATAGTAAACTTCATTTTTATTTAGTGAAATGTTCAGACTAAATTTATTATTACTTTTAAATTACAATTACTTTTTGTTATTTTTATTTTTATTAATTATTATTATAACTTCCAAATTGTTTTTATTGTTTTTTTTTATTCAATGTAATTAGTGTCGAGTGTTTTTACATTAAAAAATTTTATATTTAAATTAAATTTTTCCATTTTATACTCTGTTATTTCTTTAATTTTTTATGGTAATATTTGAATTAAGCAAGGTAACTAATTTTGTAATATAATAATGTTTTGAAGAAGAATTAAAGCCATTTGTATTGGAATAGAAGGATCCTTTAATAGGAATACTTAGGTTTCATTGCATAAAAATTAAAAATAGTATTATTTTAATTACTTAAAATTAAAAATAGGATTACATTCTTTATTTAATTTGATTCATGAGATTTAACTTGACGCCAGTTGTTAATATCAAATCTTTTACACAAATGATATCATTAGATTTAAGTAAATAATAAAAATAGTATCACTTGGATTTACTTTTTAATTTGGTACAATAAAGATGGTACTACTTCGAGTGCCAAAGGGTTTATGGGTTATTACCATGTCGTGATCCATTGCTAATGTCAACGTTTCGTGAACCTTGCCATTCACTTCATCAAGGCAAGGAGCGCACCGATACTGAGCTATTCCTCCGGAGGACTCCCTTTATATCAACTCTGTTAAAGAGGATGGGATATTTGGGGGGAGAGGGGAAGAAGAGATAAATAGTACCAGAGAAAGAGAAATAGTACCGTTTGGATTTTATAATTTGGTACAATAAATTTTTTTTTTAGCTGAACGTATTCATAGCGCCTTTTTTATCTTTTTTAATACATAAGACAATTCGATTGTTTTAATCTCCATGGTTAACCATGGTCATCATTAATAATGCTGGTAATGGCTAACTGCCAATTATAATTTTTAACAATATTTCACGTATGAACTTGTTTAAATGACCTTTCAATTTGCATATAGCTTGCGTCACGTGTACATCACACTCGCGATCTCATATAATATGACATTCGGCTTCGTAAAGCACAACATATCACAATAGAGTTGCTAAATTCATGGATCAATTACGTCTAGCAATTGGCAGGAATCCTGTGATATTCGTCTTGTTTCCAACCAATATTTCAATTTTAACATCAATTTATTTTCGAAATAAAATCGAACTGACCTTTCGAGCTAACACTGCTCCATTCAATTTGTAGATGCAATTTAGGTTTTAATAAGTCGCTCGTATTGTGCAAGATGTGTTCAAAGTTAAAATATGTACGTAAGTACATCGTGCAATCGAGTGAATTAATTATTAACAATTATCGCGCGATCGTAACGCGTGAGCAATAAAATTTGAACAGCGTCTGAAACCTGCTGGCTCTACGTTCCTGCTACTATGATCGATTTATGACCACCTATTTTATATTTCCAAAGCTCTGCCATGGTTACAGAAAGTTTCAAAGAATCACTAAATTCGATACCCTCTCATTTCCATCTTACGGATGAACCGAGGAGTCCCGAGAGACACGCTCGCTCGCTTGCACGTTGTGCAATGGACAGGAGACCGATGATTTGCTTTCACTGACTCACCTTTAACATGATATTACGAGTATTACGATTACCATTAACATTAATCCGGATGGCATTTCCATGGCCGGTCGGTCCGCCTAAAATTTCGCTCTCGTGCTCGGGCATGATGAGCTCAACTCACGGCAATATAATTGCTGTAAATCACGCTAAACGACTATTTTTTTCGAACATCGCTGAACGCGCGATGCGAGAATCTATATATTTTAATTAATGGTTGTTAAAATCAACGTCCTTTCGCGAGACAGACACACTTAATGACGATCGTCGAGGCTTGACAGCTGCTAAATAAATCTGCGATCAATCGAGGCGGAAAAAAAATGCGTGTATAAGTAATGTAAGATTATTATCGTGTTTAATAAAATACATAATATGATATATTTGAGGAAGGTAGACATAATTCTACACGACTTTTGAAAAACCTCTAAGAAAACGCTTTATGTTTGTCGACACACAATCCAGCGATAATTAGATGCATAAAGCTTCAATCTTTGTGGAATATAATCTGAAAATGAGATTAACGCATTTATTTGATTTTTTTTAATGATCATGTCATGATAGCACACTCTCGAGAAAGCGGTTGTTTCACACTGGGTTCATAATGAATTGCTGGGATCCTCACGTGATCGAGCGACAGCATCGCGTGCAGCTAACCAAAAACGGTTATCGTCAAAATGCGAAAGTAGACATTACGCAATGTCGAGAAGATTTTATTTTTTTTTAACAAGTCTTTACCGGCTGGAATTGAGAAAGACAAAGTCTTGTCTAAATCAAACCCAAAACGGAGTCTGGGAGATACCTTTCTCCTCCCCGCGTAGGTCTGACGTAACGTGCTAAGCAATCCGCAACGTTTATGATATAACATGACCGGACCGTAAAGCGTTCATGTAAACAAATCAATGCGAGCCACTAAGCGACTTCGCCAACTACTTTGATTTGGTCTTCACATGTAATCCTGAAAAATCACCAAACGATTTATCGAGCACATGGTGATCTGTAATTTATCTTAACTCGCAACATAATCTTGTATTCATTCTCAGGTTTCTTACAAGTAAATACTGCTTTTTCTGAAATATGATGCTACAAATTCAATATTTATCATAATGAATAGCGAATAGCTTGGCTGTTATTATAAATTAAAATTATTATTGGCAAATAAAAAGATACTATATCTTGCATATGAAAATAATTTATTACGATGACCATGTCCGGTTTGTTAAAAATCATTACAGGCACAGGACGAATCCTTAATGGATAGGTATTTGATTACTCAGAGTATGTAGAGAAGCATGCGCAATTAAACGATTTAATAACCTTAGCATGATACATTACAGCATAATTATGACATGACATTATGATATGACATATTATCGTATCGGGCACCTGCACCGCGATTTCGCACCTTTCTATCTTCCATTACTTCTTGATTGAACGGAGAACATAGAGAAGCGAGATTGCAGGATGCGCAGGACCTCGATCAGTTGTCGATTAATGTAATCTCTTTTTTGTTAGGATCAAAGTAAAGCAAAAGGGGATACATCTTGTATTCGGTAGGTCTTTCTTATCATAGATATCGTTAATTAAGTAAACCCTGAACGGTATAATAGAATTCTGATAGAATTTTAATTTTTCATTTAATTTATTACATACAAGAAATTATCATTTCATCTTAAAATGTTATATGTCTAGATTTATTATCTAGAAAATTGTATTAAACTAGAAAAAATTAATTTTTGAATTTCATTATATATACATATATATATATATATCATATATATCATATATGTAACGTATGTTGTTCTAAAGTACATAAAAATTTTTTTAATTTCATATTTTTATGAATTTATACTGTTTAGGGTTTAAGGCACATTTAGATGACGATTGGAATCCTCAAAAACGAGTACAAATTTCAATTAATACATAATAATTATACATGTGTGCATCAATAATATCATTTTTTACGGGTCTATTATAAACATAAATTTTCAAATAAATCGCGACGTTCGTAATCGTTATGAAAATAAATGACTAAATTGTAATTGCCTTATTCCAAGCCCATGTCTCGCAACATTATTTAAAAAAGAAACACGATAGTGTCATAGTGCTTGCTTTAGCGCCGAGTCGTGTCTCCTGATTATTTTTCTCATCATTCTTTCTATCAGAAAGAATGATGTGAGTGTTATATTGAATCTAGTCGACAGAGTACCTTTATTACATCCACAATTTTACAAAAATTTTGACAAAGCCATAAAATTTTGTTTTGTAATGAATATTCTTTAAAAAATAATTTTTGACAACATCAGGAAAAGATTGCATAAAAAATTAGAATAAATAAATCAAGATTCGCAGAAGATAATTTCCACAAAAACAAAAAGAAAACACAGTTAAATCTCTATATATTTTGTCATCCCATTTTTAAATAAGGTTTCTGAAAAAATTAATAAGTTTTTTTAAAAATGATTCCATTGTCTGTACGATTCACATTGGAATGAATAAACTACGACAATTTATTAGAGTACTTAAAAGTAAACTTCCATCAAGTTCAGATATTAATGTAGTTTCTAAAATCAAATGTAAAGAATGTGATGTCCTATATAAATTAGACAAGCAAAACTTTAATAATTAGAATAAATGAACATAAGAATCATATAACGTTGGAATACAATAGAACGTTCAGTAATTATGGAGCAGAGATTGAAAATGTTATGAATTTAACTGGGAAAACGTAAAGGTTCTGAGGATGAAGAAAAGATTTCACAAAAGAGACTGATTTTCTGAAATATTACATATAAAACAACAGACTGATGGCTTAAATTTACAAAATGACACGATACTTCTTGATCTTCTATATTTTAATATATTATAACTTATTGCTTCTCTCTCTTTTGCGATTCTGTATCGATTAATGTTTGTTGCGAGGACTTTCGTTAGATTCACACTGAGAAATTCATTTAGTTGAATTAATTAAATTCTTGTTTGAATATGGACAAACAAATCCTGGTTGATGCAATAAAATAAGTTAAACCAAACCATTTGGTCATTGTAACATTTTATTTGTTTCTGATGAACAACTTTATCAGATATCAATGTTTATCAGAAATGAGTAAAATGTTACAATAACCAAATGTTTTGATTCAATTAAATTATTTTAGTGTATCAACAAAGGATTGGTTTGCCCATATCCAAACAAGAATTTAATTGATTCAACTAAATGGGTTTCTCAATGTATAGCGTGCAAGTTCTCGACATCTCTAATTATATTCACATAACACTTACATGTAAGTTTTCGACGAAATAATATCATTTTAATTTATAAATAACAATACAAAAAAATTAGATATTTAGTTTTTGACAATTTAACGCATCGATGTACATGGATGAATATGTGAGATGATCCATCCGCGAGAATATCAAACTAATATTGTTCCTTTTCGTTACAAAAAAAGAAAATTCTGAATCTAATGAAAATTTTGAATTTAATCCTTTGTAAGATCAATTCTGAAATTGATTGTGACCACACAATTTTGACTTTTCTATTCTTTTATTTATGTATTGAAGAAGACCCGAACCTGAAGTCGAAATATAATATATGCGTCATTATCTGTTTGTATCAATTGTATAGAATAAAAAATTTTTTTTACACACTAATATCCTGCATTAGCTCAAAAAAGACAATTACAATTCATGATTTATTCGTTAGAACAAATTGTTATTTTAATTTATTTGAAAATAAATGAATAATTCGAGCCGTAAATTGCACCGTTTGGCTTGAACTTTCGTAATATATTGATCTCTCTTGAGTAAGGTAAAGCAGTAATTGCGTAATTCATATTTAAGATATTATCATGCCATCTTATATAATAATGCACAACTTTATTGAACAGCATGTTGCGCATAATATATGCAATATATATAATTATGTCTAACATTTTATTTTATTTTGAGCTTTGATGGCAATTGTTACTTAATTATCGACTTATGCAAATTACTGTCCAGAATGATTTTATGGCTTCTCGTGTCGCACTATTGCAATTTATTATATACAAAACAAGTTATATTTCAATTATAGGAATCTTTATCCCTCTGTTGCACTTCAAAATGAAGAAGAAATTTTTTTTCTAAAAAAAAAGCATTTCATAACCGCGTATATAAATTTTGTCTTTTTTTGTTTACAGTTACATCTATGGTCGAAATTTTATGATCATTAAGAATAACGAATAAAATTATTTATTAAAGGTTCTTTTATATCAACTATAAAGAATAAAAAAAATTTTTTTTTTCATTTTTTTTTCTAACTTCGCTTATTGATCTTGACGTTCCATCGTCTCCTAATCATGCCCATCTTGCACGCACAAAATAAAACACTATAGTACTGCTCGACGAGCTGATCATCAATATAATTGTGATCATGGAGCAACTATATGTGCGATTGACCGTACCCGAAATAAAGGATGCTTAACATTTGTTATATATTGACTTAACATTTGTTATATATTGACGTTCATCCCGGAATCAATAGCCAAGATCAAACTACCCACTTTGACTCAACAATCTTTCATGCAGCATTTTTCAACAAGGACACAGTGTAATACAATGAATCATTTCATCCTTGTTTAATATAAGCAAACAACAAGGATGTAATGATTCACTGTGTTACACTATATCCTTGCTGAACAGCACACATAGATAACGATACGAATAATATTATAGCAGAATATCATCAATAGCGAGAAGCGATAACCGCGATGTCATTCCACATTGATATATTGAAGCATTGGGAGCAGTCTTAGCATAGATATTTTTAATATCTCCTATAAGGTTCCTCCTCTTCGGGATGAGCCGCATTGTATGCCAGGGCCCGTTGTATTTCTATCGGTATTGGCGGCGGTGTCGGCAGATGGGCGCCACTCGCCAGGAAACCATTCTCATCGGCTGTGTAAGTGACCACGATCGGGGTACCATCTGGAGCCGTGTAACTGTATTGACCTCTGACCGCCTCGATCTGATTCGGTCCAATGTTTTTCGGCTGTCCTGTCTCTGCTACGGAAATACCATTTTCCGTATCGTAGCTGTAATAAAAACAAATTGTTTAGAACATCTTACGAGATACCGTTTACAAAAAGAGAAAAAAATTGCAGTTTAATTAAGTAAAAAATAAATAAAATAAATTTTAAACTATTGTGTATAAATATATAAAACTACTGATGGTCCGTGGATCACCTGTAAATGCAAGATTTGCTTGAGATGATTTATTTTCACTTATATATTCCGAAAAATTACTAAGAGTCTCAATATTTCACCTTTAAAAAAATTCAACTTGTAATGTTGCATGAGAATTTTTCATTATTCAGAATCCGAGTAAGTGCAATTAAAATTCATTTAAAATTATTCCGAAAAACAATTGTTTTTATCAGCTTTGCGACAATTAACATTTTCGTATTCACTTTCTCACCGAACTGCTATTGGAAAAATCAGTCAAAGAAAAATACTACTACTTTTGAATTGTTAGGTGGAGCCTCGCCACAAGTCTTAATGTCTCAGAGACAGGTGTCATGGGAGGGGCCCCGAGTTAGATGCGAAGAGCAATGAGAATGGGTGAGGAAGAAGAGCGCGTAGGTAGGCAAGCAGATAGAGGTAAGCAGGTAGGTCGATTGTAATTGTTGAATTGCACAATTATTACGTGTGTTGTACAACCGAGTGGCGCATGTATGATTAACATCAAAGCCAATTATGTATCCTTCCTTTTGCCAAGACGGATTCACGGTTTTTGCGATTTCAGTTAAAACTGGTCAATTGTTTCAAGTAGCATCTGGAAAATCATCTACCACGCGCAAATGGTTCGCGACTTCGACACGCCCATACGATTATTTTATATGATAAGTCGCACAACGTCCTGAAGTTAGAAAACGTCGAAAGATAATTGATTATTATGGAGGTATGACCGGATCGTCAGGAAAAATTTCCAAGAACTACTGAGCTGAATAAAATATTAGGTTGTTCCAAAACAAATGTGTAATATAATATAGAATGAATATTACATAATCGCAGATTTTTAGTTTTTCGTCATTTATTATAGTTATTAATTGCGTGTAAGATGTGTCATACAGATTTAGCGTGATGTAAATATCATGGGACGATGTGAGATGATTGATCATCTAATAGATAATTTGATAACTGACCTATTGACTACAGAACTAGGATCTCGTTGCACTTGATTAATTATAGTGAATCATGATATATTAGAAAGTCAGAGCGGGATGAAAATATCTCAACACGTCTTTGCAATAGTTGATCTTTTTTACAAACTTTCGTATGGAATTTTTTGCATAATTATTTAGTTTATATTATATGATATAATTCAAGGTAATACTTAGGTAGGTAGGTGGGTAGAGAGAAAGAGAGAGAGAGAGAGAGAGAGAGAGAGAGAGAGAGAAGAAGGGGGAGCGCGCACACGCACGTGTGTATGTGTGTCACACATGTTGCGGAAATAATTATTGATGCTTAAATTTCGTACATAATTTTATAAGCCTGAATATATTGTAGATAATAATTATCATTAAAGCTGTGACTAATAGTTTTATGAGAGCAATTTTATCTTCTTTATCTATTTCTATTTAAATAAATAAATATGCAAACATTTAACATATTGTTAAATTAAATTAAGATGTTAATTTTAATCAATTTTAAATCATGTGATATGTGATTTTAAGGATTGTATTTGCATTATATCGAGTATGTTTTAATCATTATTTCTTCATTCTATTTTCAGAATATGTAAACGACATTCTTTTGCCACTGTAATCATAAATATAAATAATAATTTTGCTATTAAACGATAATATAAAATTTTTTAAAACATATTCTCTCGATTTTATTATTGCCTCGCAAATTAAAATGAATGCACGACAGACGACTATGAGGATAAAATGTTTATGCAAATTTTATTGCATTCTTGAGTCGCGAATGAAAATTAGCCGGAAATTCTTTATCGTATTGAATTTTAATTTGAATGAGAATATCTACGAATTCGCAATGCAAACATGTGATTACTACACCGGAGTCCGCACTTTTTTTGTGTATCTAATTACTATTAAAGCATACTATACTCAGAAACACTTCCAAGCGATCGTGTAAGACTATTGGCCTTCGCACGATTCAAATTTGTTTTCTTGTTCAAGATATTTTTGCCGTACAAGTAACGAGATTTGAGAATTGTTTACGTAGGCGGACAATAAAATAATTGCAAAACCGTCTAACAAACGTTGCGCGAGCACGATTGACATAATTATACTGTTCAAACTCCTTTTTTGGATAGTAAAAGGATATCGTCATTATCAAGATTGAAAAATAAACGGTTGAAGCGATTGAACAATGCTTATATATGTAGATACGTACTACCGAGAAACAATTCGATCCCACATTTTTTCAAACAATTATATCGATTCTTCTCAATCAATTACACGCTATCTTTACATGTAGTGCTTATAGCATATTTCTGAAAAAAAAAGGCTTTCATCATTAACAAAAATCTTGTTCTAAAGAAAATCAATTTATGTCAAAATTGTATTAATAATTAATAAACTACTATCGTTTCCAAATTTTATATTATATAAAATAAAAAAGATTTTCGATGTTTTTTTTTTCTTTAAAAATGATATTTTTATACCTAACCATTTACTTAATTTTAACATCTATGAAAAAAATAAAGAAATCTTGAAACAATATATTGATTAAGAAATAATATGCAAGTTTCAATATACAATCCACCGTCAAACTAAAGCGCGTCACTACTTTCGTGCGTTTCCGGTGCATTAACTACACTTCCTTCCTGCCTATTAATCACTCCTCGATGAAGACACAGCGATAGAATGAGAAGAAAAAACGGACGCCGAGCGTGTTAAGTTCGCGATTGCATCGACCGAATGCCGCGTATTTTCATACGTTCGAGGGCATCCGCGACTCCTCGAGCGTGTCGAGATCGTTCTCTTGACAAAACATATGTATGTACATCACAGCACTGAGACTATCTTATACCTGTAAGAATACGATCCGTCCGGCGCGGAGTCTTGCGTTTGTCGCAGTATAGCGTAAAAAGGCCGGCCATAATAATTAGGATTGTAATATTGCGTCGGTGGAGTCGTCTTGAACTGTGCGTACGCCATCGTCGTCAGACCGAGTAGTAATATCTGTAAAAATGATTAATCGTGTGATGTCAGTTGAAAATTTATCATATTGAGTATTCTAATAGCGTTCCTACAATAAAGAATGTTCATAGTTTACAGAATTATTTGACAGTCTAGAAATCTCCCAATTAAAGAATAATTATATATATATATATACACTTAAGTTATCATTATATATATATATATATATATGTATGTATATATATATATATATGTATGTGTGTATATATATATATATATAATGATAATTATAGATAATCCACTTCTAATTAATTAACTAATAACATAAAGAAAATACAATTACAGTTATTACAATTCACTTGTTGTTTCGCATCCTGAAACATTTAACTAATATTTGATATTAAATCAGCACTGCGATAATAATATAATAAATCGGGCGAAATTATATAATTTTATATGTATTATTCATGCAAAAGTGTCTGCTAGATAGGTAGGTAGGTTGAGATGGGTAGGTAGTTTGGTACGTAGAAGAATTTCGAGCCATTGCAAGAGCCGGCGCGGTTATGAATAAATATACGTTATTCCATGCGTCATAATCTTTGTCTCACGCTTGTCGGAGATTTCCTCCATTGTATTCGGAAAGGAGAGTTAAGTGATTTGCGACACGACGCGCAATATTTTTCACGCGGGCTAATGAAAAAAAATAACGATTAAAATAAGCATAACGGACGCTGGAATTGATCAGTGGTGCGCGTATAAGACTCGTTTTCTCGATATCTTATGTTGGTCACTCGCATAATATAATTATACTGAGATAATATAACACTAGATTTGCATCTTGTTGTAATTATAACAATCATATTCGCCATTATTTTTCCGAAAATACTATAGCCGCCGTTTGTGTGTGCTAAACGGAAGTGACGAAATCGATTCAGATAAAATCGTCTTTGTCGTAACCAATACGTACGTAAGGACTTCTCCGATGCGAATAAAATGTGGATTTTTATAAAAATTCACACGTGCGCCGCGCATATTGGATACTCCAACTATCCAGCTTTCGTGCCAAATCTTCTATGATAATCGATCGTGAAATCTTTTTGTATAATTTCATGACGCTCAACTAACTTTTCGATATTTTAAACACATCTAACTTAATAAAAGACAATTTTTATACACAAAATTTTATAAAATTTATTTCTATTAATCATGATTGCCATTAGTTTTGCTGCATTTATCCCTTTTCTAGCTATATAGAGTAATTTATAGAGTAATATATAGAGTAATTTGTTGCAAAAATATATTCCTGAAATTTGTTTATGTATTAGGTGTTGGAATTAATTCGTAGCGTTTTAAATGAAAGAATGTTATTTATTTCACATGAGCATTAAAAAATACATTAATGAAAGTACTTCCCATCACTTGTAAAACGCTACGAATTAATTCCAACACCTAATAAATTAATAAAAAAAGAACACAAATTATTGAAGAGGGCTATATTCGGTTAAATCGGGTGTTGATATTTAATAATTTTTGTGTATAATAAACTGTTACAATTTTCAATTTAAGCAAACTTCGCCCTGATTATTAATAAAAAAAAGAATCAAATAAGATAATATTAAGTCGGACAATATTCTTTGATCTCCATTGAAAACTATCAAATTGAATTTAAAAATCGAAAAAATTTGATGCATTGATAAAAAATTCAGTCAATTTATATTACAATATTTTAATTGCTTCGATTATTTGAAATAAAATTTTATTATATCCCGATCCCAAAGATTTTAATTACAAATGTTACTATTTATTGAATTGATATAATTATTATCCTAAATATATTTTTTTAATTGACATAATTATTAGAATATCAATTAGAAATGGAATGCGATTAGTCGAAGTCATAACTTCCTGCTTTCAAAAGTTTTCCATTTTTAGAATTTATTATTTAGAAAATTAATTATTTAGAAAATAACTGTGATTAATCGCAAAAGAGTGAATAAAATTAAGGGATTTTACTCACAAGAATGTTCATGATAATTTTTGAAGTATTCCAAAAGACAATTATTATTAGTGATTTGGTGCGCACTTGCGTGATGGTGAATAATCACACTATGCGAGACACACTCAAGACCTTCCAAAAAGCCACGTACGAAACTCTTGAGCTAACTGCAGTTAGAAACACGAGCTTAGCTGGCCACAGTGAGGCTTTATAGTCACCGAGACGCTCTGCTTGTGCCCTCTTTTTGCCCCGCCATTTTCCGGAGGTTGAAGGGGAGAATGAATCTTGAATGTTACTCGCGTAATCTGCTAACTAAGCAAAGGGTAGTGGATGATGGTCGGGGCTTTCTAGTTAGACGATAGGTAGGTGGTAATTGACGGTCCTCCTCGAATGCAATTCGTGCCTCGTATCTTTCGCACGTCCGCGTGAGCATCTGCGCCCACGTATCGCGATCCTTTGCAAGTATGTGCACAAGCTTATTAGATTACACACATGCACGTGTGTATATTTACGGATTAGATACAGTAGGCAGACACTAGGAAATATTAGGGAAATTCAAAATAACGCAAAATAATTATTTTAAAAATTGCATATGCTAACGTAATGAGATGATGCTTGTCTATTCGAATATTTATATTAATTACTATTATATGTAGTAATCGCAATACACCTAGAAAAGGATTCCTTCGATTCAAAGAAATGTTCCTTTGCTACACGATTAAAGAAAAAAATTTCTTTGAATCGAACATATACCTTTTGTTACATTAAACTATGTTCAGATTTCCACCCGAGTGCCACTCGAATCAAATATCACTTCAATTTTGTTGTTTACCGAACGTTAAACAAAGATGACATAACACCCAGGGATTTTTTTTATGAAAAAAACATTCAATTTCGGGAGTGTAAAAATATTGGCATAAATTCGGATCATTAATTGATGATCAATATCGAAATGAGGGTGAACCTTGAAAAGAACTCTTATTAAGTTATTTTATAAAATTAATTAATTGAGTTTTATTGCTAAAATATATATTATTTATGATTATATTTCAAAATACATGACAAAATTATAATTAAAAAAAACGCTTTCTCTTGATTGGGAATTAATTTTATATTTCCAAGCGGTCACCTATCTTTAGCTATATCCCCCTATACATAGCGTGCTTGACTTCTGCGATCATACGGGGAGTAACAAATCGGTTTCGAATTTTCGAAAATAGTTTTTGAGATGATCCACATAAAAAAAACAATGATATGCTTAAACAAACAAAATACCGAATTACTGTCAGACTCATATCTGCCATATCCTTGACTTCTCTGGTAGGAAGCTGACGTCAAAATGACGTCATTTGACATCAAAATGACGACAAAATGACGTAGCTTTCTACCTGGGTTGTTATCTCCTTCCTAATATCAATCCTCCTTCCATTTCTTTTTTTACCTTTTCCATCAAAAACTAATCTATCCCCCTTTTGTTGTTTCTCTTTATGAGTTACAGCAGTTATTTTCATTTGAAATGTATTTGTCAATTAAACTGTCTACTCGCGATTTATTTCTTTGTCAACGATAACAGTTTGCTTGTTTCCTTCTCAGGCTCAGGTATGTGTTTAATCATTAATATTGTAAAATTTTATTTACTTAAGAAGTAAAAACTTTTATTTACTTTTATATTATTGCAATATTGATTTTTATAATTAGACATTAAATAACAGTGACTCAATTGAGGAGAGAATACAGTAAAATGAATATGTAGCTTGTTCATACTAATCATAAAAATCTGAGATTTACCGTGTATTGATCAATACGAAGTATTATGTACTATGTACACTGAAGATGACTCGATGTGAGTCGAAACGTTTATAATTGTGATTTAAATAAAGAATATATCGTAAAATGTTAAAGTTATAGCACGACAATCCTGCTTAGCTCGTAGTCCTTTTTTAATTAGTGTTTTGTTTTTAAAATGTCTTTGTATTAAAAAAAAGTTTATTAAAGAAGCTTATTATCTTCCATTTCGCAAATGATGACGAATCGTTAGCAAATTCATTAAGATAAATGTCTCAATGGCCGGACGTTTAAACATAGGTTATCATAATTAAATAATATTATATATTTATTAACTAAACCAGAAAAAGATAATGACATAATGATTCATTTATCATCGGTCATAATTTAAAGGTTATGTGTGATTGACACTAAAAGTTTGGATATCGATACTGAAATAACTTTGGGTGTCGCTATCAAAAGTCTCATCTAACTACAAATTTCTATAAATAACTGTCGACTCCATGTTTGAAGACAGCGCCATATTTATGTTGACTCACTCGATAATAATGTTAGTGTTTTCACATAAATTTATGCGATATTAACAGACAGGATGCATACATATGTAAATTAAAACAAGGACAGCTCAGAATCAGGTTCATCTCTTTCTATCATATTGAATCAGTAGTCTAGTTATAAAAGTCTGTGCACCTAACCGATACTTAATTAAAGGCCTCTTTCACCAATTTCTGGTTCAATTAATCGATGATCAACTCGCAGAAGTGCCAACAACAAGTTTAATGCATCAGAACATCTTCTCCCTTTTCTTCTTCTGAGACAAATTGTGTTTAGTTCTCACGTTGGCAATCGTGGTGATTGAGTTAACCATCGATTAGTGTTAATCGGGGTTGGTGAAAGAGGCCCTAAGAGAAATCGTTTTGTATGTACAATCAAAATTTTGTTGATATGTGATTAACAAAAAAATGTTATTTTTTATTTAAAAATGTATCGTCCTAATCAAAATTTGGTTAGAACAACAAAATTTTTGTTTTTTTTAATCAAATTTCTCGTCGTTTTAAGCCCAGCGAATGAGAATGGATTAAAATGGATTGAAATTTTTTTCTATTCGATGAGTATTTTAAATAGCGAATACTTTTCTTTGGATTTAATTGGATTCAATTAGATTCAATTGGATGCAATTGGATTGAAAAACTGCATTTCCTATTCAAAATTTTGAATTGAACAGTATTCACAATGTAGTGTATGTTTTGCACAGAAAAAGCGAATATTATTTTTAGAATTATTATTTTTAGATTGAAAGGCATAGAGATACAAAAGGCATAGAGATTGCTCTATGCAATTCCTATAAAAATGCATTCAGGATTGAAAAGCATTCATTTTAACATTCGTCAATTAATATTTCTGAAAATCTGAATCGATTTCAATTCATTTCAATCCCTTCTCGTTTGCTGGGAGAATAATCATATTTTAAAAAAGCGAATAATTAAAGCATTGAGATCTTGAGATATTAAACAAATAAATAAAGAAAAAACAATTAAGAGCCTTAATTACGCGGTAATTGGTGCGATTATCTTATAAACATATATTTCAATTGTATATTTTACATAAATATAAAAACTGAACGTTTTGGCTCAATTCGAGCCATCCTCAGCAGTCTTGCATAATAACAATTCTTAATAACCATCCGATATTCGTACATCCAAGAAATCGGATGCAACAAAGAAGTCTCACAGATTCACCAAATCTTGGTTATTCTAATCAAATTTTCATTAAAATAACTAAATTTTAATGAAACAATACAATTTCTTAATGAAAAAGTAAGAAAGTTTTTGTTAATTACATATCCACAATATTTTAGTTGTACGTACAAAATGATTTTTCTCAATATAGACCCAACTAATATACCCAAGTTATTATAATATTGCGGGTCACACCCAATTGACACTCAATTATTTAACGGTAACACCGAAAGTGATACCCAGAATGGAGGTTACGTCTAAGTATTTGAGAGTAACACTCGACACGACACTAAAATCGATGGTAAAATAAATTATCTTAAATTAACACTCAAATCAATGGACGGTTAACATCAAAAAATATGTATTTGTTATAAGGGTCAGATAGGAATTTGAACATGCTTTTGATTAGATAAAACAGTATTGAGTCGAATCCAATCCTACTTTTTTGTCTATTTTAAAAATTTACCTTTCTAAAGGATAATTAAAACTGTTATTTACTCATTACTGTATGCTCCGATTCACTTGATCGGTCGATGAAATTTCAATATTGCCAACTGCAAAGAAATATTTTGGCAGCTGTGAAGAACAATATATCATTAAAATAATTATAATAATTAATTTTGCGTACTTTAGTATTATACGCATGCGGCAATAACAATTATTATTAAATTGATTTTTTGCAATCCGCTAAAAAATCGGTCGCTCAAGTTAATCGGAGTCAGTAAGATTGACCCTTGGATTAGCCCTATCTCAGATTATGATGTACGTCAAAAGTGAAAAAATGCATAATAAAAATTCTTACAAAATATTTTAATATGAAAATATGTTTCGATAAAACAACAATTAAGATTGACAGATCTGACTTAAAATATATCAGAAACTCTTTTTTTATATGGTTAATTACGCACAAAATGCGCAAAATACGCATGATGCATTCATTTATCCTTGTTATTCACTGAAGAATAAGAAGAAATAAAATGATACCTCATACGCTTTATACGTAATTCGAAACGCATTCTTAATAAATGATACATATTTGAAAAGAATTATGCAACTATCTAAACCGAAATGAGCTATCTTCTTATAATTACGATAATCTGTCAAATTAGTAATATATAGAAATAAATATGTAAATTTAATTTCTCCCAGAAGCGAGAAGATAGTTTTCAATATATTTTATAAGTCTTTTTTATCGATTGCAATGCTGTTTCATTGAAAATTTTTATTCAAATATAACACACTGGCAAGAATTTTTATAGTGTTTTTTAGCTTCTAACATCAACATTTGAGACATTAATAGTGGATTTTAAATATAATATGATATTTGTAGCGTAAACAGCAAATGAGATTTTTTGTTAAAAAATATATTTATAAATTTAATAAAGTTTTTCTTTTACTTCCTGGTAACTTCGTATTCTGCAATTACTTTGTGGTCGTTAATGTTAGAGCAAATGTGATTCAGATGCGAGATGATGATTACTGCAAAGATGTACGCAACTCGTGACTGGAATTATTATTATTAGAAGTTATAGGTACATGAGCAGCTAGAATAAATTCTTACAATTATTTGAGAAGAAACGGTTTATAATAGCATTTTTCTATCAGAATGTTGAATAGACGAGTGTAAATCGGAGAGCTGAATATTTTTGCTCTTCTCAAAT